GCTCTTTTTCAAAACACGAGTCGTGTGCTTGAAAAAAAGTCATCAGAAGCTGGCCAATTTGGGTGATGTCGGGCTCTACCTGAGGGAATTGGGAATCGTTCTGGTAAGCTTCCAGATATTTTATGACATTTTCTAACTCCATGAACTGCTTATCATCTCTTGTTTCACCGTGCATTTGGTGCGCTATCGTTTCCAGAACGTGATCCTCATTAAAATGCGTGTTGTGTATACATTGAGCTAAGAGAACGGCAGAGAGCAAGTTTGAAGTGTTTCCAGCGCCAGCTGCGTTACGTGACAACCTTGTCACGCAGCACCATCGGTGTATAGCACGGAGTACCAATAAGAGATGGGGATACGACTTGATATAGCTTGAGAGCAGAGCAGCCATTGTTAGACAGTCTGGGGATGAACTAAAATCACAGCTAAGGGTTGGAGAACAATTACTGCTATCTATCAGCTTCACTGTTGGCCGCTTGCATGAGAGGACCTGGATGAAAAACAAAAATTTAAATTAAATAATGTTGAGGAAAGCGCAGTATCAGGATTTGAAGATTGAAAACTGAAGACTGGAGAAGAATGTGGAAAATAGATCTTTTTTTAAATGTTATCATTTTCCCTTTTTAATTAATTTTTCGTGGATGAAAACTCTTCTCAAAGCATGGTTAGCGTACAATCGTCCAACACTTGATGGTTGGAGCTGTGTTTCGTCGGTAAAGCTATCATAACCTTGATTCAACAGTGTCATTGTTTACCAAGTCATATGTGAAGAATATATGCTAAAGCTACAGCATAAGTTAAGTCGCCTACATCATATTTACCACAATTCATGGTAAAGATAAACACCCCTAGATATGATATAACTAAAACCACTGTGATGCTTACCGGGAAATACTTTTCGTTGACGAGACGAACTTTCCAGAAGAGATTTTTAACGTTTTCGTCTTTTTTTTCTTGTTGCTTTGACGTCTCCTCTTTCAAGATGGGAATCAGGGACTCCAATACTTCCGCTTGTTCCTCAACTGAAGTGTTACTTTCTTCTGGTGGTACCTCAGGGAGGGCACGATGGCTTCGTGCCTGTGTATCCTGTGGTAAAAAGGACAGATCAAGATCTGAAGTCTTGTTAAATAGTAGCGTGGCAGTAGAGCCGACGATACTCATCGAGGAAGTGGATTCAGCGGCCTGCAGATGGCCACATATAACGTCCTTTATACTTATTCGAGCTTTGAACTCCTCAAGTAACCAGTCTTTCTCTTCGTTAAACAACCTTACGAGGCTCTGACCCACGGTTGCGCTAACGTCTAAGGCCTGAGGCTGACTGGGTCGATCTTTTCGTGTTTTGATGGCGAGCATGACGTCATTGATAAACCAAGGAAAACCGAATAGCCTCTTCTCGTGGCTTGGGTCTGAATCATTTTCATGATCATCCGCAAACGTGTAGGCCACTCTGTACCAAGCCGAGGCCTTTAAACGCATCTCATCAGAAATCAGCGCATCATCTTTTAACCACTGTCCATCGCTGCCGAATTCACGAAAGAATTCCCGACGGAGGTACAAGCGTATTGCGAACAGTTCTTCGCCGATGAGCTCGGAAATTTCCGTTTTTTCTTTGCGCAAGCGATTTCGAAGCTTCATGAAACAGCCAGTGATGATTTCTGCCTCGGTTTCGATGCCGTACAGCCGCATCAAGCTTTCCATCTTGTCGCGATACCAATGATAGTCTTCTTTGGCGTTTTTAACGAAACCGTCGTTACCTGGCAACAGGAAGGACTTGTCCAAACGAAGTTTTTGATCGTATTTTTCAGACGTAGCATCTTTAAACTTCCGACAGCGCCGGAAGAGCTTTCCTATAACCTTTTCAGAGGGATAACTTGGTTTATCGCTCTTCATCATGAAATCGGGAAACATTTCTATCTTAATACCCTGAGTACTCGGCCATTTCCCCGTTTTGGGAGCGTCTACAGCCAGAGAGTGCAGTTCTGCAAGACAAAGACATTTCCGAGATTGTACGCCGTCTTTCTCAATGTCCGCCAAAGCCTTGTGCGCATTGTCAATAACGCCTAACTGGTCAGACCGGATGTAGTCCACCACAAACTTCGTCATGTCCCGAGTAGTGATTGGCTCAGTCTGCTCCAGTTTAGGAAGTGACGGATAGTCCATTGGCGGGTAATCTGGTTTCCTCGGTAACAGGTCTTTATTCCAACAGACGAAATATAGATCGCCGTCTAAGTCACCGCCTAAAATCAGAAGTAGTTTTTTCAGAAGCTAGTTTCAATATTCACAATCTAATCTTGTTATGACTAGACTCCGCAGATTTCGCTTGGATTCTTACGAAAAAAAATAAAACACCTGCTTGGTTAGCTCATGTTGTAGAGCGCTGGACTTCCGTGCATAAGGTCTGGGGTTAAAGCCACAGACCAGACTAACACTCAGGTCTTAAAAACAACTGAGGAGAATGTGCAGCCTCTGCTATGACATCTGCAAATGGTTAGACATTCTGGTGTTATCAGTAATTGCTGTTGTAAATATAAGCTCCTAGAAATCTCCAGACTGTGTAGTCATGCTGACATGCGTATATCATGCGTTCTATGATAGAACTTTCTAGAACATTTCATCAAGTCACGCAGTTATTACGTAATACTACTAAATAGTTCTTTTGTAAGCTTCTGGAATGTTTCAGAAGACTTTGTAAATGTATATAAGAACTCAGTGATATAGTTGTTGCAGTAGTTGTTGTTGTCGGGAGTGACCGACTGTTTAGAAAGCTACACCGTGAGAGAGAGCTACAGTGGAAGATTGCTAATTTCAAGAAACGTTGGAGGAAACTGTGAGTTTGGCCCAGTGGTGAGCTAAGATATAGACTGTTGTGGGCTTAAGCAAGTTTATCGAGCATAAGTACTGTACTGTCTTTACGAGTTGCTCCTTATTAAGAATATCACTAGTTGTTTAATAAAGTAGTTAAGTTTGTAGGATTGTAGTGTTTTTCTGTCGGTTAGATTATACCGTAATCGGTAGGGGGGGCTATGTTTTGTGGAAACTAGGTCCTTTCACGAGATGCCTAAATTAATTATGCTCTTAAAACTTAAGCCCGTGTAAGTTTTTCAGATTGGAAGAGAAAGTGATTCAAACTGTCGCAATAGGCGTATTACCTGCCATCTCGTTAGGGTGTGGCCGCGAGCCTTGACGTGGGAAAACGACGCAGTCCACAAGATGACAGAGGCCTGGTGCGTCAACAGCCTCGAGCTGGCGTACATCTCCCGGATGTAAACATGGATTCCGAGTAACCACCACTGGTCCCTTGAGCACAATTTTTTTGCTCTTGTCAAACTCGTCATCTCGATCCGCACGTGTTTCAACCGCAGAGTATTGTACGAAAACCTAATAAACGCGATAAAACAGGATGAACAGGTTAATCAAAGGATTAAAAAGGCAAACATCCTGTTTATCTTTCTCAAAATTATCATTATCTTTCCAAAAGTTGTCTGATAGTGGTTTCGAGTGGGATATAAGGCCTATTGTGGCCTGCGTG